GCGCTCTCGGACGGCGTAGACGGAGGGGTAGGGGGGAAGCGGAAAGGGCGGAGCAGGTCCCGGCCAGGGTCTCTCAGGGATGCTTGCGGTGGCGGGAGGGCCGTCAAGCGAACCCGTCGCAGCACGTCCGCGGAGGAGCCCCCGTCGCACCCCGCCCTTCAAAATGGAGCAAATGCTCTCGGTCCTTCTCTGCCTCATCCCGTCCGGGCTCAGGCCGCTTCTGTCGCCCCCAGTGACGCCACCAAACCCATTCTTTGCACGTCCTCCCCCAGTCCTTCCCTCCCTCCCTCTCCCGCGCCCTCCCCCTCCCCGAAACCCCGTCGGCCGGAGCATGAAATCCTTGACGCGTTCATCTCCTTGCACCTGCTCCCTCCCTCCTCCTCCCTGACCGCCCTTCGAAACTTCAAGTTGGAGCGCTTGACCGGGTACGGCCTGCGGGAGTACTGGCTGGTGCCGTCCGGGGGGGCCTTGAAGCCCCAACTGTACACAGCCCGCTTTGGCTCCAAGATCGAAGCCATGGTCGACACACAGACGGGCAAGACGAAAAAGATGATCGAGGCGGTTTACTCGGACCGGAGCCGGCATCATTTCGACATGCGGCGGCTCATCGACGGCTTCACAGGGACGGAGGGCACCGTGTCGAGGAAAGGTATTGTGGGCTTGTTGAGCAAGGAGGAGGTGGAGGACGTCTTTCGGGGCAAGAGGAAGCGGAGGCAAGGCCGACGGGGGGAGAAGAGGCGGCAAGGCTTAGGTCAAAGGGAAAAGGGATTGAAGGAGGAGGAAAAAAAACACGAGGGGGAAGAGCTTGCGGGAGTGAAAGGGGCCGGTGAGGGCAGCCAGGGGACGGTCCCGGGGGGGGAAGGGGAAAAGGACGATGACGATGGCGAGAGGAATTTGAGCATTGGAGTCGCTGTCAACGGGAGCCTGAAAAACGAAGGGAAGGGGGTAGGGGAGGAAGTGGAGAAGCAGGCATTGCCCGAGAGTGCGGAGAAGGGCTCCAAAGAAAGAGGTTTGCTGACGGCCTTGTCGATGATGCTACCGAATGCCTTGGGGGGACAAAAGAAGGAGGGTGATGAGAAGAGGGGAGAGGATGGTATGCTTGGCGTGGAGAAGGCCAGGTTGGAGTCGCACAGGTCACCAAGTTCCGGCACCGCATTGGCGGCAGCCGCCCGTATGGCTCTCAGCACGCGGATGGCTAGCAACGGCGTCCCCGCACCGCAGCTTCCCCAATCTCTCGTTGCTCCGTTTGCTCCCTTGCCGCCTTCGACATTTCCCTCTGCCCCTCTCGGACCGGTCGGTCCGACGGACGTCGTGGGCCCTGCTCGCGGTCACCCTCGACCATCGTCTCCGTCACAGAAAAGCGTCCGCACGACATGCAGCCCTGCTCCTGCCGGTCGCCCCTCCTTGCTCTCCCCCGGCCAAGGAGATCAGAAGGAGAAGTGCGAAGGGGAGGGGCCAACGGTGCTGCGAAGACAACAGCAAGCGCATAGGCACAAAGAGCAGGCCCTTGATCGACCCAGTGGCCAGCCTGTTACCCTTGCCGCCTTGGCAAGAGCGGCTGCGGTCTCAAAGCAACAGTTGAAGCATCTTCCACCGCGCCCACAAGAGCAAGCTTCAGTGAGGCAGCAGACATGAGGATAGGCAAGCTTTCTAGCCCTCGTTGGGTTTGCGAAGGTTTGCTTATTCGGTGATGTTTGGATGCAGGTGTTGCAATGAAATTTGAGAAGATAAGCGTGGAAATCATCCAAGAGGAGAAATGGCACGTCAAGAATGTCGGATCGACCCGCACAGCGCAATGAATGGAATGAATCTAGTAGTAAACATGACCGTGAAAGCTGTAGCCCGTTAAGCGGTGGGAAAGCAACTATTATCGGCTGGTTTTATGGAGCGTCATCATTTTTTCCCCCTTACATCTAGTATGAAAATCGGTACGGACCAACACATATTTTCGGGAAAGGGTTTCTGAACCGTAAAAGTCTCAATTGTCGTCCAGTAAGAAGTGTGATTGCTCCCAAAAAACAGCTCAGACCTCCCGAGCTGATGTCCTGCACATTTGATCCTGAGTTTCTACATTGTTATAGATAAGAAGCTCACTCAAGCTCAAAACCTGCATGTAAGCTTTCAACCACTGTTGTCGTTCAATACCCCCCACAAGCTGAGAAACATGGAACAGTAGTGCTTGAACATGAGGTTCTTCTTTTATCACTTCTATTATTCCGTTCCCACTGTGAACTTCTCTCGGGCATATTGCAACAGTCGCTGCGGGGTCGACGGCCCACTCCCACCATCTCTTGACCCCTTCTTCCGCGGACTGGTTCCGATGCTCACCATATTTGTAACCACCTCGGAAGCGAAAAAGGTTGCGGAGGGAGACGTAGAGGAGAGGACACGGCACGGGGTGTTGTCAGTGAGGCTGAGGGTGTTTCCCGGGCGAGAGAAAGTCAAAATCAAACATCCCTCTGTCTTGCTTTCAAAAGCCGCCTCACAGTAACAAAGGTAGTAATTCCAGCAGCGCACAAAAACGTCATCAAAGCCCTGAGTTTTCACCGCATGAAGACCGCGGTTGAACCTACGTCGCCATTCCCTGAGTGTCTCGGCGTAGTGAACGTCGATATTGATTAAACCCTCCAGACTGAGGGCGCTGTGCCGGGCCATTGCCTCCAACAGAGACGTAAGAGAGGGACAACAGGAGCCCGGGAAGACGATCGTATTGATAAAGTCGGTGCTTTTAAGGTAGTCCACGTAACTTGGAGGGTAAAGAGATCGAGTAATCTTCAGGTCAGGCCAGAAACATCAATATTTCTTAAATGATGTTTTTGAACCATTCACGCACAATGATTAGCCATGCCCCAATATAGGAACGAAGGGGAAAAGCAAGAAAAAACGTCGCACCTACCGGCTTTCAGGCGTGGTGATCGCCTCCATCACAAAGACTCCAGACGGTTTAAGCAGGCTGCCCACCGCGTGAAAATATTCGCCCAGGTGACTGTGCCCGACAGCTTCGATCATTTCACATGAAATAATCCGGTCGAATTCGCCGGGATGCCTTTCAAAAAGGTTGAGAGCAAGTGTTTGTCAGGAATTCGAATATGCAACTTGAACCCTTCATCAAAATGACATCCATCCCGTCTATCACCAGTGGGACATCCCCTTCTAGTACTTTTCATGCGCGAAAGAGCAGGCGCTTGGGAGACGCACCAACAGCATCCCAAAATGCGTACATTCGCCACCACCTCGGATCCGATGCTTTTCTCTGTCTCGGTAATTGTCACTTACCGGCGTGCGAACACCCTGTAGTCGACCAGCTCAAAATGGATCAAATGCTCGAGTCCTTTCGCCCGGACCTTCTCCTCGGCCAACGCCTTTTGCTCCTTGCTCAGGGTGATGCCCACTACCTTGCATCCAATCGTCTCCGCAGCCCGAATGGCGATCCCGCCCCAACCGAAGCCAATGTCGAGTAAGGTATGCTTTCTTTCGACTCGGCATGTCCGGATCAACGTATCAACCTTCCGAAGCTGCGCGTCTTCCAAGGAGCCTTTGAATGCCATAGAGTAGGAAGAGGGAGGAAAGGAGGACTTGACGACGACACCATTGCCATTTCCGGCGGGTACAAGGTCCGAAGAAGTAGCCTCAGCGGAGGCCGTGAGGGAGGAAGGGGTCAGCTCTAGGTGATATATGGCCGACGAGTACATCATGAGTGACTTGTCCAGCATGAGCGTGTAGAGATCGTTCCCAATGTCGTAATGCGCCGAGATGTTCTGCCGAGAGCCGGCCAATGAGTTGTCCATCGAGAGCCGGTACCGGAGGAAATTCAGGCCGTAGCCTATCCACGAGGTCAACAGCGCCGAGACAGCGAACCTCTTCCCGCCAGAGGGGGCATCCCGATTCCGAATGAACAAGAGAAAGAGCCTGGTCAGCCCGTCGCTGTTCCACCCGGTCCCCTCGACTTCGAATTCGCCGGCCATGTAGGCACGCGCTAGCCCGAGGTCGTACTCTAGGGCAACGCGGACAAAAAACCACCAACTCTGCACCCGCAACACCACCGTCTCCTTCCTCCCCGCCGTCCGGTCTCCAAACCACAATTTGTCTCCTGTCCCGGGTAGGCGCAGGACCAGGCATCCTTCTTGAATGGACGAGGCTAAAAAGTTGCGAATGGGAACGCAGGCTAATTGACCCAGCAAATCTTGGCAGCGTTCCCAAGTACTCCGTGCATTCATATGCGCTTTCACCATCGGGTACACGGGAGCCTCCGCCTCGGGCGGCATCCAGGCTGCCTTTTGACCGCTCAAGGCCGTCGCCACCTCCAAGCCTGACCGTAAGCCGTCCTCGTGAAAGCCATGGCCCATCCAGGCCCCACAAAACCAGAGCCCGTCCTGACCCTGCACCTCGGTCATCCTGCGTTGGGCCGCTTCCGTCGCGGGGGTAAATTGCGGGTGGGACTCCCGGAGGATTTTGTGGGTCAATGCCCGGTCGGGGGGGAAGAGGGGGTTCAAGGAGACGAAGTAGGGAGTCTCGGTTTCAAGGTTCTGAAGCTGATTCAGCCAGTAAGTCACAAAAACAGGCTTCTCCCGACCCGGCCCGAGCATCCCTGCCGACGTGCCAATATAGTTCCAACTTCCCCACGCCTCCTTCTTGCGGGGCATCAGCCGCGGGTCGCTGTGCAGGTAGCACGCATTCGGCGCGTATTTGAAGGCCTCCAGGTACGGGGCCAGGCGGACCCGCGCCTCCCCCTCCAGCAACGCCAGGGACTGGTCGGGATGGCAGGCAAAAATCGCCTCGTCAAAGGTCTCGGCGTGGTAGCTCGCGTCCGTCACTTCTACCTTGCCTTTCCCATGCACCACCACCTTCTTCACGGGCGCATTCAAGCGGAGACGCTCCCCCAGCAGGGCAACAATTTTTTGCACGTAGGTCTGACTCCGCTGCGCCACCGTCTTCCATTGCGGCCGGTTGAAAAGCTGGAGCATGCAGTGGTTGTCCATGAAGGTCAAAAGCGCGTAGGCTGAGGCAGCCAGGACGTCCGCGGCCGACGACGACCAGAGGGCGGCGCACATGGGGACGATGTAGTAGTTGGTGAATTCAGGTCCGTATTTCTCCTTCTCGAGGAATTCAGCCAAAGTCCACGCCCGGCGCGGGTCCTCGGGTTCGGCTAGGAGAAGGTTGGATGCGGTGCGATTGAAGCGAAGCATGTCCTTGAGCATGGCTCGATAGACGGGCCCGGCCAAGGTTTTGACGGACTCTGAGCACCACTCGACTTTCCCTTCGTCCATGGAGACCGCGAAGCTCATGTTTGTGTTCTCGTCGTCCACGCCCAGCTCTGCGAAGAGTTCCACCAAGTTCGGGTAATTTTGATGGTTAAAAACCATGAACCCTGTGTCGCACGCGATTACCTTGCCGTCTTCCTCCCGAACTAGCTCCGTGTGTGCATGACCGCCAGGAGTGCCGCTGGCCTCATATACTACCAGTTCTACTTCCTCACCAGGCGCTGTGCAGGTCAGCAAATGGTACGCGGCACCTAAACCTGCCACACCCGATCCTATTATGGCCACTTTACGTTTGCGCCCGTGCTCAAAACCTTTGTCACGGGCGACCTTCGAGGCGATCTGCCGCCAAGCTTCTTGTATGTCCGCATGTTGCGGAGCCTTTTTTCGAACAGGAGGGGCGCCGAAGTAGACACTATTTTGGTTACCCATACGTTCGCACTTTGCAACAACTGCAAGTACTCACTGCAGTTCGTGATGGGGGAGATGAAAGGTATCAGACGTGGCATACAGGATCCCGGTGTGAGTTCAATGGAACACAACTTCGTGCCACAACTCAGGCCAGCTATAGCGGAAATATGTGTCCAAGAACATGAACACTCTTATGTCAGAGTAGGGATCGAGGCAGACCCTCATTCTTCACAGAAAAGAGGAACGCGGCCAGGGGTTTTTGTCCACTGGACATGGAAGAATGGCTACTGGAGCTTTTCTTCGACTCTCTTTGCTTCCTGCATGCCACCTTCCGGTAAAGAAAAACACTGGCTATCCATCACATCCACGAGTTCAAGGCCTGAATCTCCTTTATGCAAAGCCCACGGCATAGCACATGAGACGGGCCAGCAAAGACGGTCCTCTAAGATGCAAGCCCCTGTCTTCGCCCACGCTCGCTTTCCCAGGAGGGAAAGTCACGGCCCTCCAAATCGTGTGCATATTTTGTCGGCGCCGATGCAAGTGGAGGGACGCTATGGCATTGAGAAGGCTGGACAATGCTTGTCGTCTTCTAGACAGGAGGTGTGGGCATTTTTTTCCTCTTACGTTGAAATTTTGAAGCTGATATATTTAGCAGAAAGCCCCTTCCTTTCCCCGCCTAATTGTGGCCGCTGTCTAGCACCCCCTTGCTCCTATCTACATGCAAGCAGAGAGCATTTCCTTTATGTGGCCGACTAATACGTGCCATTTTATTTTTCGTTTCACTTGTAGGGGACAGCGTCTTTTGTGAAGGCCCTAAAATTCGACATGGAGCAGTTTGCCCGATACCTCTAACCCCGACCCGGCTGCTCGCACGACCCGTCACTATTATATAATCATGGACCGTGGTTACTTCTCTGTGGACGCCATATTGGCCGCGGAAGATCGTGTCCCCGTCGTTTTCAATACCATGGCGGCCTCGCTCGGTTTCCTTGACCCTGCTTGCAAGGACGAGGATTTACCTGCCCGCTCGCGCGTGGAGCTTCCCCTATGGTTGGCTCTGGCTTTGCAGGCCAAAAACATGGTGCGCGTGGAGCTTCCGAGGCATTATTCGGCGCGCTTCAGGGAGGATTTGTTGGCGGGACCCGATGCCGTGGACATTCGAGAGCGCAGCGCCTTCTTCTACGAGACCGGGACGGCCCTCGCCCGTGTCAAGCGGGATGACCACCTGCAGCGCACGATGCGGATGGTCTTTGCCGGGCCCCGATTTCGGCACATTTTAGACGCTAGCTTGAACAGCGGAGGGGACGACATGACAGATTTCCTCCAGGATTTGCCCCACGCGGAACGAGCGTTGTTCCACGCCGGCTCCCAGGGCTCCAAGGCCCAGGAGGCGTACAAGAAGGGTACACACGCGCAGCTGGATATGGCCGAGGTTTTGAAAGGGGGGAGTGCCCCCGTGGATAGAACTGTGGGGGGCCAAGGAGGGAAAGAAAGCAATCCTTCGTTGTAAAGTGGGAGGGGGTGGCGGGACGAGGGGACGAGTCTGCCGTAGAGTCTACCGGCTCGCTCGGAATGGAAAATGGAAGCAAGTGCAAGCACCGCACACAGGCATTGCAGTCAGACGTTCCCTTGCCACATGCTTGTGGACAGCGCGACCTGTGTGGACAGAAAATTACGAAACCTCGCCAACATCTGTCTCCACCACATGCTGCGCTCCGGATTGCTTTGATATTTTCTTTCTACAATCCAGCCACGTTCG